CGCCGGTCGCCCTTTTCCACGATGCCGATGATCCAGGCGCCGCCACCGGGGGCGCCATGCCCCCCCGACCCCGCCGAGCCGTGGCTCTTCATCTCAGAGCAGAACTTGGCGGCCTGCTCTCTGGGCAAACAGACCAGCAGCCCTCCTGGAGGGGAAAAAAGTAAAGATACTAAAACGTTGTATCCGGATTTATTTATTTACGTTGTTTATGATTGGTAACGTGACGTTAGCCTTGAATTGCTAGCTTTGGCTAATGGCTAATACTAACATGCCAACATTAACTCATCGGCTGCCAAAGACGTCTATAGAGGTCTTTTATGTTTTTCAACGAGAGTGTCTGGGGGACGATCTGCTAAAGCTTGTCTGTAAATATGGGCTTCTAGACAGAGTATGTAGTAACAAATTTACCCTCTAGGGGGCAGTGCCACTTTTGATGGGAGATGAGCATAGACTGTAGGCAAATAAGAAAAAGCTAACGGTTCTATGAGAGAACATGTCGCCGGTGAGACGCACGTCCAGGAAGAACGGAATAAGGTAGAAACACATTTTTTTTCCTGATGAAAGAAGAGAGTCTACTCTTTCTTTTGGTGTGTTTGGTGTTTACATAGTCATAGCACAAACTATTCTGTGGCTCTTGAAAAATCAGTCAAAATGCTCAAAAAACTCTGGCAGTCAATGAGTTAATATGACGTTAGCCTTGAATTGCTAGCTTTGGCTAATGGCTAATAATTACACGCCAACATTAACTCACTGACTGCCAGCCATTTTCAGAACAGAGTCCCATACTGTTGGTGTAGTCTTCTACTGGCTGTTATCAGGTATATCTGAATGTGTACAACAGGGGTTTGAGCAAAGCTTTTACCACTGAATGATGCAAAAAGTCTCCAAAAGACTTCAGAAACCGGATGAATCAAACATGATACATTTGGCATTATAGGGTTAGGGTCATTAATGTGGGCCACCATAACATCAGTAACAGGTCAGTCTGAAACCAAAGACACTAACCTGTCAGAATTCAGTTAAATTTTGGCGTCTTTGTTTTTATCCTTGTGGTATCGAGTATCGATATATTTATATATATATATAGTTGAACGTTTTAGTTTAGTCAGAGGCCGTTGGGCTCACCTGAGGTCTCGGCCGAGGTCCCCTGCAGCAGGTTGAACAGGCTCCCGCAGGCCTTGCTGACGGCGGCCATCTTGGCGATGACGGGCAGGTTGTGGATGACGAAGGCAACCTCCCCGCGCTGCTGCGTTGCCAGGTTGGAGGCGTGGCCCAGCAGCCCGAAGCCCGTCACGTCCGTGGCCGCGTGCGCCTGGAACTTGTGCATGAGGCCGGCGGCTGGAGACGGAAAAAAAAAGGCAGGAGGGGGTCAGCCCACATCCAAGTCGGCCATTTTGATTAGGTCATGTGACTGGAAGATTTCTGAGGTGGGAACTCAACTTTATTGTCGATAAAAAATCAGAAGATAAACGATGTCCTAACCCTAACCCTAAACCTGACCATAACTCTAAACCTAACCCTGACCCTAACCCTAAACCTAACATTAAACCTCACCTTAACCCTAAACCCAACCCTAACCCTGACGCTAAACCTAACCCTAAACTCAAACCTAAACCTAATCCTGACCCTAATCCTAACCGTAAACCTGACCCTAAACTTAACCCTGACCCTAAACTCAACCCTAAACTTAACCCTAAACCTAACCCTGACCCTAAACCTAATCATAACCCTGACCCTAAACCTAACCCTAAACTTAATCCTGACCCTAAACCTAACCCTAATCCTAAACTTAATCCTGACCCTAAACCTATCCCTAACTCTAAACCTAACCAAAACCGTAACCTTACCCTTAAACCTAACCCTGACCCTAACCTAAACCTAACCCTGACCCTAAACCTAACCCTGACCTAACCCTGATCCTAAACCTAACCCTAAACTCAAACCTAACCCTGACCCTAAACCTAACCCTGACCCTAATCCTAACCCTAACCTCAAACCTAACTCTAACCCTAAACTCGATCCCTGACCCTAACCCTAAACTCAAACCTAAACCTAATTCTGACCCTAAACCTGACCCTAACCCTAACTCTAACCCTGACCCTAAACTCAACCCTAAACTCAACCCTGACCCTGACCCTGACCCTACACCCTTCATAATTGTGAGAAATAAATATATATATACCCACCCACAGGGGCTCGGACCCCAGGGACGATCGGACGGGTCAGATTTAGAGATTTGGTAGAACTTTTCCAATAGAAATGTGTCTAAATATGTAACAGAAGTTAAACTAAAGAGGGGGGAAATACCCGATTTGGGATTTTAAATACTTAATACTTACTAAACCGATGTGTGACCAGTGAATTTCTCCACTGTGAGATCAATAAAGCTCTCATATCTTATCTTATCTTAAAACTGCCGTTTCCATAAGAGGAAGCAGAGAAATGGAGCCCCCCCCCCCTTAGAGAGGCTTTTCAGAAACCGTACCTGTTCGGTTTAGCGTTGCCATGGAGAACATGGCTTCCTGATAGGCCTCTTTGACTTCCTCCTTCGTGACGACGAGCTTGATTTTGTTCCACCTCTCAGGCTGGTGAGGAGAGAAAAGACAAAGCTCTGAGCCGTTTCCACCACAAAGGTTTCTGTTAAAGGATGCTGAAGAATGTTTGAAATGAAACATTTAGGTATTT